GAAAATTCTGAGAATATGAATTACTAGAGATTAAAAACAAAATCAAACAGAAATGAAGAATACTTCTGATGAACTCATTAGTACACTCAGACACCACTGAGGTAAAAAAATCTGAGCTCAAAAACACAGAATGAAAAATTTCCAAACAAGCAAAAAGAAGATTTGAAAACAAATGACAGGACAGATACTCAAGAACTGTGGGACAACTATAAAAAGGTACACTATTCATGTGATGGGAATACCAGAAAGAAACCAAAGATGAAAGAAACAGAAATATTTAAAGCCATTATGTGTGAGAATTTCCAAAAATTAATGTGAGTCACAAACCACAGATCCATAAACCCAGAAAATATCAAGTAGGATTAATGGAAAAAGAAGAAATATAACCTACATTTAGGCGTGTCATTTTTTCAAAAACAGGGAATCCAGACAAAAAAAACAACCCTGAAAGAAGCTGGGGATAGGAGGAGGGATTCCGGTAGAGGAATAAAGAATCACAATTGACTGCTACTTAGAAACCACACAAATAAGAAAGTAGTGTGAAACAGTAGAGTTTCTTTTTTTAAAAAATCAACCTATAATTTCAGACCCTGAAAAGTTATTTTTCAAAAGTGAAGAAGTGGGGAAATGAAGTAAAGAAATAAGAAAGGAAAGGATACACACACACACACACACACACACCCCAGTTAAGGTAATTGTACTACTAATTTCTATTGGTTTATTGAAAAGAACAGTTAATGCTCAATTGTTTGATCAATTTTTTGTTTTTTGTATTTTAGGGAAGGGCCTACAGTGTGTTCAGAGTCTCACTAGTAGATCGGACTCATAGTGATGCACCTGTTTATAGCCTCCCAAGTGCTGGGATTACAGGGGAGCACCACCACACCTAGTCTCAATTGCCATCTCAGTCGGCCCTGACGGCAGGGCCGGCAATGGGCAATGGCAGGATTGAACTCCTGGGCCCTGCGCCTGTTTACAGGCGCTTTAATCCGCTGAGCTATTTGGCCAGCCCAGTTTGATCAATTTTGTACGCCTATATCAAATAATGTGAACAACTACTCTGAAGATAACAATATGCAATATAACAACCATTGTTAACTTCTTATCATCTTGTTTTGAAATTCTGTACCATTTTTGTTTTTAAAACTTTTTACTCTCCCTATTTCTTTTTCTTTTTTTGGTGGAACCGGGGATTGAACTCAGGCCCTTGCGCTTGCCAGGGAAGCGCTTATACTACTGAGCCATCTCGCCGGCCCCCTGAACTTTTTATTCTCTTTAAAATAAAAACAAGTGAAGAACAAACAGAGACTTCCTCAGAAAAAAACTGGAGATATTCACTGCCAGTAGAAATCTGTTGTATTGCCAGAAACATTTACCAAAAATGCTCTTTAAATAAGAGAAATTTTTGTCAGTTATTTTGTCCCAGCAATGAGAGAAAAGTTAACTGAGACATCACTAATGCCAAAAAAAAGTCATGTGTTGAAGGGAGATTTCTATCATGAGGGTACTACAGCTACATGTTCCACTGGGAGATGTACCTAGCAAGAAGAGACAAGGACACCGGGCCTGATCTGGAAGAGTGTGTATCACTCCACAGTTCCTCGCTTCTCTCTGCTTCCTGGCCACTGTGACAGTGAGCAGCCTTCCTCCACCAGACCTTCCCACCATGCGCTTCCTGCCCTACAGCTGACCAACTATGGACTGAATGCTTTAAAAACCATGAGCCAAATAAACCTCTTCTCCTTTAAGCTGTGAGTGTCAGGTATTGTGCCTCTGCAATGAGAAAAATAATTGAAGACCAAATCTGTCTTTACAAATAAGTGTCCTATTAAACTTAACATAAATTCTCTTCTGTAGCTACTCTGCTATCTCCAAAACTGCCATTTCCTTGCCTATGGACATTTCTCCTACCATTTTCTTAACAATGGCTTTCTGTTGATAGCCGTCCATCCTTCAAAATCCCTCCATTAGGTTATTCTTTTTTCTTAAAGTAATACAAATTTTATAGTACTTGTAACACACAGTGTTGTCTTTCAACCAGTTATTCATATTACCAGATATACACATATAAAATTAGAAGAAAAAAGAAAACAATGTATAAGAAATTAAGAGAAAAGTATAAATAATTGAAAAAAGGAGACAAAACAAATTAAGTATTAATTGCACAGTACAATTGTCCAAACCATCCTGCTTACATACTCTCTTAAGTAAAATGTCATAGAAAGAGCATAAATTATGGAGATAGGCTGATTTAGACCTTAAGCTAGGGTTGGGTGGGAGGAACACTGAGAAACTGGAGTTCATAGCCAAGAGGCAGAGCCTTGCTAAAAGACTGAGATTTAGCTGTGGGACTACGGAGCATTCTTTCCCTATCCCTAACATACCACACACACACACACACACACACACACACACACACACACACACACACAGCACACCACCAAACTTACTGACTCTTGACTCTGAGGGTGGATTTCCTCTGGTATGAAGTGGAACAACACCCATTTTTGGATGATATCTAACCCACAGAATTATTGTAGGACATAAGTGATATCAATGGCACAAAGTAAGGGTTAAATAATCATTAAGACCTTACTCCTTTCTCTGAACTCTTTGCAATTTGTTTATATAACTCATTTAGCAATTCACTTTGCACTCATTCCATGTCTTACACTTTTACCCTAAATGATTATTCTAATGTTTATTTCTATGTCTTATTTCCAAACAGGCAAGAAACTTCTTAAAAGTCAGAAATAGCTGAGGATGATGACCTATACCTATAATACCAGCACTCAGGAGGTTGAGGCAGGAGGATTATAAATTTAAGGCCTAAGCTACATAGCAAGTTCAAGACCAGTAGAGACTAATAGTGAGATGGGGAAGGGGGGAACTAAAATCAGGACTGTGTTAGACCTACTTTTAGTGCAATCCTATTTATAAAATAGGACTCATATATTTCCTCAGTTTACTAAAAAATAATCCGTTTTGAAATTGGTACTAACATTTTAAGAATACTAAATGTTCATTAACACAAGGCACATCCACTGAAAGGTAAAGGAAAAAGCAAGGAGGGAGGGAGAGGTGTAGGAAGGGACACAGTGTGAAATAAACAAAATACATATGAAATTCTGATAAAAGAGACTACAACATGTTTAAAGGAAGGGATGACTTGAGAAAATCACTAAGTAAAAATAAAGATGTAATATTCTGTAATGTTGGAATCAACCAACAAGAGAAAAAACAGGATTTTTTTTTACTAGTTTATTTAAAAGTACAGGCATATAATCAGAGCTCAGGATTAAAATGGTTTTCAACCCACTTGACAATATCAGAAAAATAGTTTTTACCTGGAATATCATCCTGAGAAGAATTGTATGAGTACAGATATAGCCAAGAGGAAAAATGATGTGGTTAGTTAAGAATCCTTGTCAAAAATATAGATCTAAAATGAGTAGTCTTTCCAAATTCCAGGAGACTAAGACTTAGCGTCTAGCAAGTAACATCTTTAAATGTTCTAATCTAATGATATTTTCATATTTATAAACAATAGTCTTCAGCTAGAAAACTGAAGTATGTTTGAACGACAAGAAAGAACTGTGGTTTCTTATGCAATAATTTACTTTTTTTTTTTTTTAATAATTTACTCTTAAGACCACACTATTATCTTAAAAACTTCACATACTTTATAATTTTTGGAGAATTTTCATGTTTTTATTTCCAATTTCTGTAACTACTAGGTATATTTATCTGAATAGCCAAGAGTCAAAATGAAACCTGATATAGTCTTACTCCCACCCCTAGTCCTGGGGACCGAATCTAGAGCTTCAATCATGCATACTGTGCTTGGAAACTTAGCTGTACCTACAGCCCAAGTACAATTTTTAAATTGAAATATTCTTTCTTTAATGTTTCAGAACATTACTACTAACAAAATCAGTATTTTAAAAGTTACAACTTAAAAAAAACCCCACTAAAACAAAAACTTTCTCCTCTTTCCACATTCATATTCCCTTGTTAGTACGTATTTGCAGTACATAATGATTACAATTTATCACAGGGAGTTGGTACATGCACACCTTCAAATTCTCCTTAGAGCATTTAAGAAAATAGTCACTGCTATCTCAGAAAGTGGTTCCCAAAGTGGAGTCCCTAGACCAGCATCACCATCACCATCACCACCAGGCAGCAACTGCATCACAGACAAACATCCTCAGCCTTACCCAACCTACCACATCAGAAATTCTACAGTTAACCCAAGAATCTTGGTTTTAACAGGCCCTCCATATGATTCTGATGAAGGTCAACGTTTGCAAATAAGTCTTATAAAATGGTGGAGTTTCTTTCTAATACACCAGTAACCCTTGATATACTTCTTAGCATCCTTTTCACACTTTGCATAACCATCCAAGTTTTTCTCATTTGAATGATGAATTTACCAATAACTTTGTGGTGCTTTCTAACATAAGCCATGTTTTAAGATAGATATAAAGTAATTCCAGATGCCTGAGAGGTTGAATAAGAGAGCTGAGATTTCTAGGCAACATTGGGTGTCTAAATAAAAAAAATGAAAAGGGATGGCTGGGAATGTTGCTCAGTGGGTTCCTGTAACTCAGTTCCTGGGTTCAATCTCCATTTGGGGTGGCAAGGCAGATAGGTTCAACAAACAACTTTAAGGAAACTGGATATAGCATACTTCTTTTGAAAAGCAAATCATATGCAAATGTAACTAAGTGCTTTTTAGAAGTGCTCTATAGGAATACTGATGAGAAGTAGGAAGTTTTAGATACCATACATATACATGAATATAAAAGCAGGAGCATCTATTTGGTAATACAGATAAATAATGACATCAAAGCAAAATAATCCAAATCATCACAAAAGTATTTTGGTTGATGAGAAATGTGCCTAACACCATAATTAATAAATCTGGTAGAAACAGACCTCCATTTCTAGATATGACATGGTAATTCATAGCTAGATGCAATGAAGGACTGACTTACCTATGTACATAATGCAGTTGATGAACTGAGTCAATTGCTATCACCATCTCCGCCAAGTAAAATCGAGCCATATCTTCAGGCAATCTATCTTCAAATTTGCTGAGCAGAGTAAGCAAATCCCCACCAACATAATAATCCATAACTAGGTACTGTGAATGAAAAAATAATGTAATCAATAAATAATCAGAGTAAAACAATGTATCCCAAGAAGTGTATACGATGACCATCAGTAGTCGTCATAATACTTTTAAAATTCATACAGTAATAAAATTTTTTAAATTGAGATACTAGACAATATAGAATTCCATTTTCGTTCTGGCTGTATTTTACAAAGTAGTATTATCATCTTTTTTTTTTTTTCCAGAACCAGGGATCCAACTCAAGACCTTACACTTGTCAGGTAGGCACTTAGGCTGCTAAGCTATCTCCCCAACAGAGTATTATCACCTTTACCAGCAATGAACCATCAATTTGCCAACATTTCATAAAACACTGAATATTTTAATTTTCCAAAATATAAAAGAAAAAACATACTCACAATATAAGATAGTCATTATTTGATACAAATCATTTATCTGCATCATTACAACATTTTTAAAATTTCACCGTGGATCATTAAGGTTCCTAAAATTGGCACCAGTCTATGGATCAGCATTTGGAAGCCACTATTATATAAACCACCATATGTTTCTCTTCCCATTTCTGATAGAATACAAAGAAGAAATGGATTTTTCTCAAGTATATGCAAACAGAAGCCAACATAGATGTGGATTTTTACGGATATATGTGCCGCATGCATATGTGTGTATGTACATCTGTGCGTACACACCAAAAAAGAGGAATATACATCAAAATATCCACCAGATAGCCTTGTGTGGTCAGGTTACAGTGTTAAAGCTTTTTGTTATATCCTACATTGCTTTCTAAACAAGTGTTAGCATATATGTGTGCATGCATATGTAGCATTTCTCATGAAGGATAAAAAACAGAAGACATGTAAACATCAATTATATCTTGATGTTACAGTGATTTTTATTGTGGAATGGAAATATTTCAAGATATGACTGAGTTGACATTACAACTTGGAATCTTGGGCCAGGGAGAGAGCTCAGTAAAATAAGTGCCTGCCCGGTAAGCACAGGGTCCTGAGTTCAATCCCTAGTACCAGAAAAGACAAAAATAAAAACACCAATTCAGAATCTTGAGAAAATTTAAATTTTTTTATTACTACACAAGAAAATTATAAGCATAAGAAAATAAGGCAATGATTTTGAGTGTTTCTAACCTCTAAAAAAATGTACACTAAAGCAAAAGCCTAATTTGAAATATTTAAAGCCCTGAAAATTATGAAAATCCTATACAAAATTTCAGTTAATGGCTTACTTGCAATATTTACTAGCCCTAATGTTTAACAAACTCTATCCTATGATTAATGTAAGTTAATGAAATGTAACAAAAGTATATTAAGAAAAATGTTGCAGGAAATGAGAATGGATATAAACAATTCTATATCTCTTTAAAAGACTATGAGAATAGTAGCAAGCAAGAGACTTTTTAAAGTAAAAATTTAAAAACAAGCTTACTATTAAAATGGAATGTATTACTCATGTGTAGAGTCATAAAACATAAGTAATCCTTTAATAAACATTTACTGAGTGCCAATCACAATACTTTTTGTAAGAAAGACAGAAAATACTCAGGGAATAAAGGTCTCTATATCAAAGGCTGTTTTCTCTTGAAAGGTGTAATAGTTGATGGCCTAAGTTTAGAAACTTAACTAAATAGGCTCTGTAATTCTATTCTATACCCTAGGGAGTAGAAGACCTGCCCTAGGGCAGATGTCTATACCCTAATGTGTAGAGGACCCACTCTACCTCAGCTCTTTGCCTGGACTGAGTAAAAAGGAAATAAGGAAGGACAGACTGGCTTCTCTTCTTCAGAGTAGCTCCAGGCTGTTTTCAGCCTGAACATCATCTCTCAGCTTCTAGTGCAGACTCTCTAGCTTCTGCCTCAGATCCTTCAGCCTTCTGGCAGAGACTCTTCAAGCTTCTGTTGCAGACCCATTGGCCTCCTCCACAGGACTTGCAGGGGACCCTGGAGTGAATTCCAGACCTTGGACTTAAATGTTCAGCCTCCAGTGTGCAGATATCCATCTTCTTCATCCAACTCTGTGTCTGATCATCATAAGCCACAATCATAATTTCTTATGCATTTGTGTATCTTCTATTGTATTTGTTTCTCACTGACTGATGCAAGAGCACTGTATTTTTTTTTTTTCCACACCAGAATTTTAGGAGATCTGAGTACAACATTCACCATTCTAAAATAATTATCTTTTAATGTTTTTGCTACCCATGGTCAGCATTCAAAACTTAGATTTCTAGGGGCCAAGGGAGATAGCTCAGAAGAATAAGCACTTGCCTGGCAAGCACAGGATCCTGAGTTCAATCCCTAGTACCGAAAAAAAAAAAAAAAACACCTTAGGCTTCATCTTCAATCTTTACCAATATAACACTTTGTGTTTTCTTTTAATAAGCTCCAAAAAATAAAAAATAAATAAACTCCAAAGCCTATGGATCTCTTTTCTTCTAAACTTTCCAGTACGGTGCCTTAGTGAAACTCTTCTGTGATAAATATTCCTAAAATAGAACTAAAAATAATGAATATGAAAATATTCTGGTTTTTCTTTGCCTACTAGACTGGGTTCTGGCTTTGCCATATTCTTTTGCCACTTTACCCTCAGAAATAAATTAACTGCTATTAAGATAGAATTCAGTAACTTAGGGAAAGAAGACAACAAAATTCTCGAGAAAAAAAAAGTTCAAAATGAAATTTTTGGTGTCAGAGACACAAGATGCACCAAAGGAAGAGAGAGGTAATAAATTACATCACATATAAATAATATTCCTTTTAATCATAAAATATCTCTGTGAATATAACCAATATCTGGAAGTCATTCTTTTATATTTCCTCCTTGATTTGCCACATTCAATTCAATATCAAGGAATGGTGTCTACTAAAGCTCTGTGGATTCTACCTACTTCTATTCCTACCCAATACAGAACAATCCCAATGTATACTCTTTTGACTATTGCTACAGGCTTAAGGGCAAAGTAAGTAAGTAGCTGTCCATACCAACCTTTTATTATGGTAATAATTTTCTTGGCAATAGAAAATAGAATACAGAACAACAGAAGAACAAGTAAATTCATTCACAAATTCAACAGGTATTTATAAGCGTTCCTACAATATGGGGTAGTGACATCACACTAATTTAATGAGAACACAACCATAAATAAGATACACTTCCTGTCTTCACAGAATTTATAATCTAACAGAGAAGAAAACATAAAGTGGGGAATTTTGATATACCAGAAATACCCTGACAAAAATAAACACAGGAGGTCGTTACTGGCTTTTAAAGAAAAGAGTCAGGCATGGTGGCACACACCTGTAATTCTAGTGCTTGGGAGGCTGAGGTACGAGGACCACTGTGAATTCCAGGCCAACTGGGGCTACAAAGTAAGTTCAAGGCCAGCCTAAACTGCAGAGGAGACTCTGTCTCAAAATCAAAAACAAAAAACAAAATAATCCAACCTCTGAATCATATTCATTTGTCTGAAACTTGTTGTTCATCAAGGTGTAAAGGTTATTTTCTTAGGTAGAGCACCTACCCACTAAAATAAATAACCTATTGTTTATTCCAATTCAATTGAGATATCATCTCATCACATGTAAGATAACAAATACTGGGGGAATCAAACCAGATGATGTATGTGAATGAGAGATACATCAACTGGAAAATCCTCCATAGCTGCGATTTAATAAAAACAAACCAAAATAAAAAGATGAGAAAAAGGCAAAAAAAA